TGCCATGTTCACCAGGGGGTCCAGCAATTCCTGGTAATCCCATCTCTCCTTTTTCACCACCTTCTCCAAGAAGTCCCTGGTCTCCAGGGTCTCCCTAAAACAAGGGAGAAAAGGAGAAAAACAAACAAACAAACAACTTAGTCAAGCTTCTGCTCTGAAATTACTTACTCTTGAGAAAAAGTGAATTCTGAATCTTCAGGTTTACAGAAAGCTCACTAAAGCTGATGGGAATTTTCCTAGTCAAACTGATGTCATGGTCCACGTTAGGGAGTTTCTATCTCATTCATACATTCCTACAGCCAGATTTTGCCTTACCCATTGCTGGCTACGCAAGGGTATATATGTCTTCTGGAACATCCCCTGTCTTGGCACACTGCCTAGCACAGCACTGGTGCAATGCAGGGAGTGGAGCAGCCTTGGGCTTGCTCTCTCCAGCATGATAGTCACTACAGAAATTAGCAGTACTCAGTTCTCCAGCTTGCATTTCTTTGTCAAGCCATTCAACTTTGCAGCCCTTGTAGTGTATGCATGTACCTAAAAGGCACAGGAAAGCCTGTAATATACAGGGCCTCCTATCTTAAACCTAAATGCACTCAATTGGCTTCTGTTGAAACAAAATGAATGAAACTGGCTTCTTCCTCTGATGAAACAGGAGAAAAAATACTTTGGTCCTGAAGTTGACATGACTGCTTTACATCTGTTACAAAAATTGCATGTACCTTTGGGCCATCTTTTCCTTGAATGCCATCTTCTCCTGGAGGTCCTGGTTCACCCTTATGGAAAGGAACAGTAGAAAATAAAGTTATTGCCTAAGTTTCTCGACATAGATGTATTGCCTTGGAAGAACTCTGACTAGTTTTACACATGCTTATTATCTTTTGGAAAATTTTTATGTTGCTGTCACAGTTTATTTATCTTAATTTTTCACTGATTTACAGTGTCAGTCACAGCCCTGTGAATCTCAAACACAGGAAAACATGAAAGACAACATTAGAAAAATGAGGCAATACTATGTCCCTATAACACTGGATATCTGGACAGTGGCAATGAGATTGAGTTCAGAGTATACAACATGTAATTACAGTAATCTCAAAAATATACCTATACTTTCCATGTTTATGTGGATAAACTTCCATGTTTATGTGGGTAACTACTAATCGGTGTGTTTAGTGACTTATTTTAGGGCCATGAAAAACTCATTTACCAACAGTATCGGCACCATAGCATTTTAGAGTATTTGCCTTAGGTAAAGATACTGGTAACTTGCAACTTTTGATGCAGATAGTAAACGAGCAAACATGAGCTGCCCTATACTAAACATAGTATTTCAGACATAGTTGCATGGTTAAGTCCAGAGCATCCACTGTGGACTGGTAACAGGAATTACTCTTCTCAAAGGACAGGCAGAACTGTTGAACGCACCTGGCTGGAGATTTTGGGCAGGAGGAAAACATGACAGCAGGGAAATGGAATAAGAGAGCTCAATGGTAAGACTTAAGTCTGAAAGGTTATGGTTTATGTTCTTTTAAAAGTGTCCTCGATAAAATCTGTTCCTAGCACTTTAAAAGGTTTTTTCAGCCTTCAAAGGTAGACAGCCGTTTGGGTCAGATGAGGCAGGGTAAGATGCACAGGAAGAATAAGCAGGGGCACAAATGCTTGGTAAAATCAGGTGCTGAGTAAGCCATCCATAGCACCAGAAGCAAATCAGCTGCTTCAGATGGTGGTACAGAGCGAAACCCTGCTCTGCTGAGACTCTAATGTTCCCATTAGCACACCTAGACTGGGTATGCATACACAGCAGTATTGTGTGCTGACATCTTAACAGCTGCGCTGGACACCCTTGGATTAACCCCCATGCTCACAGCCCTCATTCATGTCTCTCAGGGACATAAGACGCTTAGAAATATTTCAACATCAAAATCAATACTCTTTTTAACTTTCTACAATACTACATGTTTTTATTTAAAAAAAAAAAAAAAAAGAAAAAAAAAAGAAAAAAGGTATCAGAAAATAGCTTCTTATTGAGTCCTTCTGCTAAATCAAGATTTCTCAGCCTGCATTTCTGACACATTTGTAACATACTTTTGGGAAGAAGATTTGCATCCATAGCTTACCCTGAAACCTTGGTCACCTGGTTCTCCAGCTTTCCCAGCAGGTCCAATGTCTCCCTGGAATATCACAAGAAAAATAAATCATTGGATTTTAAGGAAAAAAATTCTTAACAACGACAGGTTTACAGATAATGTGGTCATGATGACAATATTCCTTAATGGCTTGTTTCCCATATCACTACTACTTGGCTAGTGAATTAGACGACTCTGATTTGCTTTTATGGAAACGTGAAAATTTAAACAGCACAAAAGAGAATAATTTCAATATTTACCTTTGCACCTGGTTCTCCCTGCAGGCCAGGTTCTCCTTCAGGGCCAGGAGGTCCCTGCATGGCACATGAGCTACTGTTACACATGGTCACCAATAATAATTTTGCAACCACCAAATAATACAGCCAAATCAAAGCACAAAATGCCATGAGCCACTGGGAAAGATGCATGTCTGAAAAAACAAATTAAGGCAACACAGTTCTTTGTTCTTACAAGAGCCCAAAAGAAGAAAAAGAAGGAGGGTATAGGAACAGTTCAAGAACTGCACAGTGGGTCAGGAACGTATTGAAGACTCAGCAGTACCACTAAGCCTGTACCTTTCATCATAAATTACTAGCAAGCTGAGCAAACATCCATCTTTCGTAAATCTGACTGACAATTTCAACACTGTTTAGGCTTGGAGCCAAGTACATACAGCCTACGGAGAACAAAGCCCTTTCTGGAGTCTTCATCCCTTAAAGAGTTAATGGTATCAGATTGCTTCCCGCAAAGGTTACATTTAAACCCTTTTTTTGATAGTCAGTCAGAAGACTGGATTTTTGGTGACTGAAGAAGCACATTTCTTTGAATAAGCCAGATCCGTTCTGCTCTAAGTGAGCTCATCCCTCAGTTACTTCATTATAAACGTGGCTAACACATGCTGTCACATTTCCTTCAAAGAGATATTAAAAAAAAAGCAAAAAGTAGAAGCAAAAGTTAGCAAGATGACTGCCTGCAGCTGCTTTTCTTCATCTCCCACTTGCAAGGACATATGATTAATGCTGTTCCACTGTCTAACTGCAAGGAGAATGGGGTTTTCGAAAAAGCTCAAGTAAACATTCAAACATTCACCTTCGAGGTGCAGATGTCATGAATGTACACCTGAAGACAGTGCTCATTTTTCAAGTAAGAGAGTCTGGCAGGTTGCAATAAAAAAAAGTTTCTAAACACATTGACCAGACTTATTCAGTTGCTTGAGTGTTTATAATTATGATATAAATTATTAAAAGCTCACCTCAATACCCATTTCGCCAATAGGGCCTGCCTCTCCTGGTTGTCCTCTTGGACCCTGGCATTAAACAAAATTTTGGATGCATCATTCAATTAACATTAAATTCCATTGTCTAGTCTTGACTTTGTCTCTTCAGAATTCTTGCAACTGGCGTAAAGAACTGTATTTCATTGTTTTTTCTCCTAAACCCAATAGTGTATACATGCACCCTGGTGGCATGCAGTACCAAAGACCTCACTGCCAATCTTGACACACTGAAATGGATTTCAAATAATAGCACAGATTTCTTTTCTTTTAGACGAAAAGTAAATTATTATCTAAACTAAGCTCTCTTCTTGATTAACTGAGACTTTGTTTAATTAAGGTTTGTTAGACTGTCTGGTTTGCTTTGTGGAAAATCCTACAGTCTGGTATGGAATTAACTGAAAACAACTACTGTGTGCTTCACTATGGATTTAGCAATGTTTACACAGAACAACCACTGAAGTGTAATGGACTAAAGGCTGGAGCCTTTTGGTAATATTAAGAACTACAGTACAAGCATTTTCTTACAAGCCTTACTGTAACTAATAAATTCTTTGCAGTAACATGTAGTATTTGAGCATTTCCTAAAAGCAACATGCTCAAATTCTCTGCACATGTTAGACTGTCCACCTCCACTCACAGAGTCGGATTTGTGTGCTGGGGGCTAGAGGTTGAAACAGCTTACAGCTGATTCCATAGCCACTGTGAATGTATGTCAAGACAGATCAACCCTCTGGATGTATCCAGTCTTTGAACTTTCAGAAAGTTCACATTCATTTACCCCTTTGGGACTCATCTGTGTTTAAGTACATTCTAAATTCAAAACCTTTTGTTGATCTATTACTCTCATGTAAAATAAAGATACTGCTACCGGTATTTATGGTAGAGGGCTTTTAAGCAAATATTTAGTCTTTTTTGTTTCACTTCCTTTTACAGACTCTGCATATAGTTTTACTTCTCCTGACTACTTGGCAGCGATAATATGAGTATATTCTTCCCTTGTTACAACAACATAAACTGCATATTACTGAGAGGATTTCGGCAGATGCATATATTTTACCTTATAGCTTCAGTTAAGTGTGAATAACTGAATTTGCATCTAATTTCCTGTTGAGAATTCAGCTGGTCCTAAACTAAGTTCATTGGTTTTCCACCGCATCAACTCCATGGCATTCCACTAGGCAAGTGTCACAGAACTTAAGTTTGATTCACGAGTCAAGTATTTCTTCATAATATTACCATGGAGCTGTGTCTGCTGGATTGGTGATGTATCTTTCCCCCAAGACTTTCAGGAAATTTCAGAAGCCAGAAATTTATAGCCATATAGGGACTTCTTTTAACCACTAACAAGAGGTAATTTGCAAATAAAGGTTTTACTGAAATACCTGATAAGTAAATTAGAGTATAATTTAGACCAAGCCCACTACTACAAATAGTTCTAATTGCTTGCATTTTTTTTGCTTCTCTACCAACACTTAGGAGTTTTCTGCTCTGTGCAGAACTAGTGACAGGGACGGAGAAACTGCTTCAGCAGCTGGCTTTCATGTAGTGACCAGCCGACAGAAGACGAAATCAAGCTGCTTGGATGAGCAAATTAGAGAGCCCCATGTTTCATTTCTTAACAACTTGTGTCATTTTCATTGCTGCTTTCTAGCTCCATAGACCGTTTCCTGAAGACATTTCAATCTTTCATCACTTGAAAGAAAAGATACCCTGTTCAAAGGCTAAGCTTTTCTTACTTCTGACACCACACATTTAGATTCTAAGATCATAAGCATAGCAGAAATGGAGGTTGCTAAAGAGTAGACCACTTAGATTAGATAAGGCCGATAGCCATTCTATATATAAGAAAATTCAGACTTGACCAGAAAATGGCACAAATTTTATGTACAAGCCTTGTATCATAAGGGTCTTGGATGTCACAACATGAAGATTAGATAAAATAAATGAAAGAGATGAAGTGACAGGCATCCAGTAGTAACTGTTGGAACATTTTACCACTCCACAAGTTGGCAGCTCAAGTTAAGTAGGTATTAAATCCAAAAGAAAATCTACCAAAATAAATGTTGGTATATTTCTAGCCCCCCAAAATGTGCAGTGGATTTCTGTAAACATGTCAACCTATGGATTAGTAGAAATAATATTTAATAATATTAGAAATAATAATAATTAGTAGAAATAACATGCTTTATATCAACAGTTCACTTTCAAGATTTAAACTATATATAATATGATACACAAAATAACATTTCAGAAGAAATGAAAACATACAATTTTTGACAACTCTAATAGATTTCTGCACCATAAAATGGCAGCCTTCTCCCAAGTCTCCCTCGGACAGCACACCCTCTTTCACTGTATTTATTTAACCTGATTTACCCCCAGAGATAGTGATGCAATACTGTTCATGTCACGGCTACATTTTGCAGCACTTTGCATATACTTGCTGCCGAATCTGCTTGAACTTCCGTTACAATATTAGCCACATAAAAGTGGGGCTTTGAAATAGTAACAATCAGAACAAGAATCCATCCAGCAGAAAAATGTCTGAGGTTTATTACAGCAGTCTCCTTTTCACTGAAAATTTAACCTGCCAAAAAGCTGTGGTCCCTGAGTTACTCAGTAACTGTCCTAAATTTTGACCCTCAAAAATACCACTAGTATAAGTACTGGCACATATTTACATAATCCATAATGTAGATGTCTACCTCAATGCAGTGTAAAGACACATAATATTGTGGTCCAGATTCTGTGATGTTCTCTTATGTTGTGAACCCTTCACTTCAGTGCTTCCCAACATGTTTAATGGGTCTCCTTATGAACAAGTTAGGCTAAGAAAGGGAGGCAGACCCTAGCCCTGCAGTTTTGGAACAATTAGCCCACAATTCCTATCTAACCACAGCTGGCAACACTGAATCCCAACAAAACAGAGCTTGAGTTACCAGGGAATTCTGTACCATATGTGGAAAAATTTTTAAGCAGGCATAAGGATTAACTTACTGGCTCTCCCATTGGTCCCCTGTCTCCTGTGGTTCCAGGAGGCCCAAGCAAACCCTAGAAGATTAAAATAAAATAAAAAATCATTGGAAAAAAGCTGTTTCATATTCTGCAAAAAGCCACTTCCTCTCTCATTTCTGCTCACTCAGTAACTCACTCAGAAATGCCCAAGAAGTACATGCAGCCTTTTCTTCTGTTTGATATGCATTGCCATATCACTAGTTCCTGTGGCAGGTGAGGGAGCCCTGAAAATCCTTCCTCAGTTTCTCTTATATAGGGGTTGATCTTGGCCAACCCACTGTTCACTAATTCCTCATCATTCTCCTTAGACTCATGTGCTGCTTCTGTGAGCAAACTGGGCCTAAACACAGTGTTATGGGAATCCTGCCCTGCAAACTGTATTTGAAATGATAAGTAAGATTCAGAGCCGCTTTCCTTTCTGCTCAACCTGGCTCATAGCATATCTGTTTTACACTCTCTTCTAGAAAATGCAGCTGTAGCAGTAATAGAGCAGTATCTTGTACTTTGCAATAAACGTACTAATTCCCATCAATTTCAACCTAATGACGTTTTAGTTCATGCATTTCTGTATATACAAATATATTTAAAAGTCCTAGTGAATGAAGAGAAATGAAAATCCATCATTTCAAAGGTGAGAGGCAACAACCTCCTAAATCTGAGCAGAAAAGGCAAGAGAAGTACAGTGAAAACTAACAATCAGTCTCAATTTCAGCACAAACCCACCACCCACTACTGCTTTGTTTCTGCTTTTCTGCTTCCTTCTTTATTGAAAATCCAATTGGACAATTTGGACTGACTGGAAACCTTTGTAAAAGAAAGCTTCAAATAGAACATGTTAGATTTCCATTGAAAAAAGCCCTAAAAGGAGGAATTTTCTCCTATATGTGACATACATTTTAGAAATTTTTCTACATTTATCCCAACATTGATAGTACACATCTACTCTAAAATCTGTAAAATAATTATTTCTCTATGTCACAATGACTTTCTCCCTTAAAACTACAATAAAACTAAAAAAAAACCCTAAAGCAACTTCTAGGACCCCCTACTAAATAAAAGTGACAATTTCCTCTGCCGCAATTTGCCATCGTATTGTATGCTGTAGACCATGGAAACACTGGTCTTGTAGCAGACTACACCATGTTCACGCTTACTCTCACTTCTCCCCCTGATTCTTTATATGAATATATGCAAACCATACTGTCAGAGTTTTCCAGCTGCTCTAAGGAATACAAATTCCCCCATATCCCAGTGTGAAACAAAATATGAGATTTTGTGGAATTTTTTTGGTGGAAGTACTAGAGAATTTCATACTCACCAGTGCACCCTGATCTCCTCTTTCTCCTGGATTTCCAGCTTTACCCTGGTCAAAGAGAAGTATTTAAAGACAATGCTGGCTTCAGATAATTTACAAACACAGCTCAGAAATTAGTAGTAACCATGTTAAGGCTTACTACAAAGATTGGGTCCAATACTTACAATAAATCCAGGAATTCCTTTCTTCCCTGGATCGCCTCTTTCTCCCTGATAAATAACCAACAGTGTGTGAATTCTCTGTATGTTTCATAGATAAGCTGCATACAGCTGCTGTCAGTTTAAATGCTGGATAACGCTGCAGGAAGTGCAGATTCAGGCTTATATGGGCTTTTACCATAGTAGGGAATTATCTGAAGGCGGCAGAAATTTGCATATCTCCTCATGGATTAAATGGAACTTTATGACTTCTGACATGCTGGGTTGGTTTTTTGTTTCTTTCTTTCTTTTCTATCTTATCTGTTATGGTTTATCTTGATGTTTTATGTAGCACTAAGCAATACACCCACCTTGATGCCCTGTGCTCCTGCTTCTCCTGGAGGACCGTCTAGACCTCTTGGCCCCTGAATATTGAACAAGTGATTTGGAATATGAATTACACATTATTTGTGGTTATCATCAGGGAGATGCAACATGAGCTCAAGGAGAAGGGAAACACATTTTGCTAGCACAAAAACCAATTTTCATTGTAAGTTAAGTGTGAAATAAAGCTTTGACAAATAAAGTAAGTTTCTGGCTGCTAAAATATGAATATAAAAAGAAAAGGCTTTTGAAAAATGTGTAAACAGAATGTTCAGGGTCTCTGTTGGAGCCAGCTTGCAGGCTGATACTTTCTTCTCTCCTTTTCATCCAATTCGTATGCATGCAACAGGCACATATTTAAAAGAACTTAGAGGCACACTGGTTATATGGAGTGTTTGATTTTGAGCATATAAGTTGTACATGCAAAAATCCAGCTTGCCAGTAAGATTCTAGAACAAGCAGATAAAGTTCTTGTATTAGGAAACCAGTTCGAGGCAATATTAAAAGCAATTTATAATCTTGCATAATGAACTGCTCTACTTTTAGACTAAAATGTCTCTTGTAAACTGACTTTATAATGTATAGATGAACAAGATAGCCTGTTACATTACAGTATTACAATACAGCAAATATTTATTGCCAGAACATTCAGAAATTATTATTTAATATTGGAAAAATAAATCCATTAGTTTACAAGCAAATGAAAAATCCTTAAAAGACACTATGAGGAAAATGGAAAAGACTATTTTATTCCTGC